TACTACTACTGCTACTACTACTACTGCTACTACTACTACTACTACTACTACTACTTGTCAATTACTTCAACTGCTACTACTACTACTACTACTCGCACCGCTGCAACGACTACTAATAATAGTACTACTACTATTACTACTATCATTACCACGATTACTACTTACTACCACGGCTACTGCAACTACCACTTCTACTCCAACAACCTCTACTGCTACTACTACTACTTCTACCCCCTTGCGACTGCGATTACTACTACCACTACTGCTACGTTTGCTGCTACTACGACTACCTATAGGACGACGACTACAACAACTACGATTAATACTACTATCACTACTACTACAACTACTACTCGTAGAATTACTACTATCGTACTACTACTACTACTACTACCACTACTACTACCACGACTATTGTTACCCCTACGGTTACTACTACAACTACCACTGCTACCACTACTACTACTACTACTACTACTACTACTACTACTACTACTTCTAGTACTACTACTACTACTACTACTACTACTTCTACTTCTATTACTACTACTACTACTACTACTACTACTACTACTACTACTACTACTGTTACTACTACTACTACTACTATTATTATTACTACTACTATGACGGCTACAACCATTATTCCCACGACGACGACCACTACCATTACGACTACCGATGCTACTACTACGGGTACCACTGTTACGGTGACGACTACTCCTGATCTTATCACTAGTATTGCGAGCACGAACGCTACTACAACTACTACGGTCATAGCTGCTATCTTGGCGACGGCGACTGCTAGTATTAACGCCACGTCTTCTCGTACTACTACTACTACCGCGATGACTGTTCTTGGTATTCCCATTTTTGGAACTACTGTCCCTACTGTCATGACTTTCAGCACACATAGTCATACTACTACGATCATGGCTTCTACTTTTACGACTACTACTACCACCACGTCGACTTGTATTACCACGACCGCGAACACGACTACTACTACCCTTACTGCTACCGTAGCTACGACTAAGACCTAGAACTGCTACTACTACTTCTGCTAAGATCACTATTCAAACGATTAAGAGCACTAGTACTACTTCTACGACTCGGGCTACTCTTGCTACGAAGACTATTTCTACTCTTCCCACCACGGCCGCTCCTACAACCATTACGTCTAGTGTTAACTTCTACTACGACTACTTCTACTACTACTTTGACTACTACTACCATTACTGCTACTACTACTGCTGCTACTACTACTGCTACTACCATTTTTACTACCGCGCCTACGACCACTTCTACTAATACTACCCCTACGACTACGACTACGACTACTTCTTCTACTATTACTACTATTACTACTATCACTACGTCCTCTCTACTACTACTACTACTCTTACGACTGCGGCTGTGATTGCAACTACGAAGGTTGCTGCTGCTTCCACGACTACTACTACTACAACGACTACTATTACTACTACTACTACTACTACTACTACTACTACTACTACTTCCACTGCTGCTGCTACTACGAATATCACTACTACTGCCACTATTACGACCACAACTGTTTATTTTTCAAAGAAATGACTACTACCACTAGGACCAGTACAGGCACCATTATTATTATTACTACAACTACGACGACGACTACAACTACTACGACTACTATTATTACTACTACTTATACTACCCCTTTTACTTCTGTCTTTTGGATTACCGCGACTATGGTTATCTCGAATTCCACCAACACCACCACGCGTCCCATCACTTCTACCACTATTGAATTGCGACCAGCACTACTTCAGCAAGGTCTTTGCAAGCACGTTCCCAGCGAATCCTGCCATACTGGCCAAAGGCGTGGCTTTCAGGGACGCAGCGCCAACGTCATGCGCGGTGCGCCTAAGCATTTGCACTGTGGCAGCACAATGTGTACGACCGGGCGCAGCAGTTTTGAGAAAACGCAGTGTGCAGCGTGGCGCTGGTGTGCTTGGCTCTGAGAAAGGCGGCCTGGCCGCGGCCAGAGCAGGTCAAGCAGCCTGGCGAGCTGTTGGAGCCAGCGCTGCGGCCGCAAGGGGTTTCAGCAAGCGCGGGAAAGCTACAGAGAATGCGAAGCTGGCTGGTCCTAGCCGACGTGATATAAAGCATGGAATGAGCGAGGGTTGACGAGCACACGCCGCAAGGGCCGAACTGCCCAAGTCAACCACCCCACTCGAAGCGAGGTGACGCGCCAGCTGTCTCCAGCGAGCCCTCCATAAAAGGGGCCACTATCTGTCACCACGGCGGCCGCAGGATTCGGAAGGTCGGCGCGTGGGTAATGATGATTAGAATGATGATTAGAATGATGATGATGATGCTGATGATGATGATGATGACGATGACGGTGACGGTGACGGTGATGGTGGTGATGATGATGAGCACGTTCATGGATGACGATCAGAATGTTGATGTTGATGATGGTGTTGATGGTGATGACGATGTTAGTGATAATGATGCTGATCATGACGGTGATGATGACGATGGTGTAGTTGATGATGTTGATGTTGATCTGACGGGATTGGTCGTGATGATGGTGAACAAGATGGTGTCGATAATAATGGTGATGATGGTGGTGGTAATGGGAATGGTGATGATGGCGATGGTGATGGTGATGGGCATGATGATGATGATGATGATGATGATGATGATGATGATGATGATGATACTGATGCTGCTAACGATGATGATGGTGCAGGAGATGACCACGATGAGGAGCATGATAGTGCTGTTGATGACGACCTTGTCAATAATGGTAACGATGGTCATGATGATGATGTTGGTGGGAATGATGAAGATGATGATAATGACGATGATGATGACGACGATGATACTGGTAGTGATGATGATGACGAGGGTTTCCAGGTGGATGAGGAAGAGGCGGAGTTCGATGAGGAGGAGTCATAATTTTGGGATAAAGAGGGGGAGGACGGAGGACGAGGAGGAGAGTGGAGGAGGCTGATGAGGTGGATGTGCAGGACTATGGCACATTGATGGCCCTGCCTTGCAGGTTTGGGACCTCGGCCTCGGACGCATCTCCATGCTGCTGCAAGGGCATACGGGCACGATCAGGTGCGTCGAGACCGACTGGCCCTCGAGGACGCCTCTCGTGTATATTGCACTATTTTGCCTGCAGACATCAGCGCCCAGCTCCGCTGTATCCCTCACTCTTGGCAATGTTATCTGCCCCCTCCTCTCGTGCTTGTCTGTTGTCATAGTTCACGAAGCCGCTCGCCCATCGTATTCTCGTGTTTCCCCCCTGTGCATTGGTTTTTTCTTGTCCATCGTTTCAAGTTTCAGTCATATTCGCACTCCTTCGATCCGACCCAATAATGCATCCCGAAAGTGATGTAGCACACGCCCATGGACCATCGCAGTGTCTCGCATTTTCACCGCATGAGGCGCATCGGGTGTGTCGACGAAGCGATCCCCCTGCTAACTCGTCTTCACGGACTGTAGTTGGCAGGGTGGCAGCAAATTGAGCACGCTTACTTTCCACCCTCCAGCATGAATTCTGGAGCCAGCAGGACTTGCGATACGGCAGCATGTGCCACACAATGTCAGAAAGTAGTGCCACGTGTAAGGGAATGGACGGAAACCAACGTCAGGTCAGGACGTGGGTGGAATGACCGTGGCCTCGAACATATTCACGAACCCGTTGTGTCATTACGTCGTGAATGGCTGCCGTCGGCCTGGGGGTCTGGGCGTGTTGTTTGTCGTTTGTGCGCCCGTACGTCGCGTAAACCAGAAGGACGATGGTCGTGAGCGTCTCCTGGGCGTTGGGCCAGAGGGCCTACCAGAAGAAAAGAGTGGAGGTTCACCAACTGGTGGGGGTCGAGGTCCAACAAATGTGCAGCAAGTCGCTTCACCACCTGGCACTTCAAGAAATGCTCCATTGCGTCCTGGGCGTCGGGCTCTTTGCAAAGGGGGCACGTTCCACCGTGGGGTCGTTGAAAGCACCGGGCTGTGGTCCATCGATTCCAGATCGTGCCAAATACCGTTGATTGTACCCTTGAAGTCACCAAGTTGCTCAGGCGTCGAAGGTGATGGAGAGCTGCTCCGACGTGCCATTTGTCCTTGCGCTGCCGGACCAGAAACAAGCTACCGACGTGGGCGTAGTCGGATCGATTGGGGTACCAGCACAGGTATTTGCTCCGATGCGGTGTTCGGCTGGCGGAGCGTGCGCCTGCGACAGTCGAGCGTACATGGCGGATTGGTGCCGTGATAACATTGCCATTTCCAATCCACATTCCTCTCCGACTTCCCATTCGCACCTCCATCCATCGATTTCCAGCTGCCAGCAGTTTGACACTCCGACCTGCCTTCGGCACCTAACGTCCCACCTCCTCCGCCTCCCATCGCTCTCTACCACCCACTGCCCACCACCGATTCACAGCGTCCGGCTTCCACTCTCAATCAGTTAAGTGCCAATCTCCAGAAGCCGACTTACCACTTCCACCTCCACCAATCAACGACCAGCTTCCACCACGCAGCATGTCGACTCCTAGCCTCCAGGGTACGACTTTCCACTCCCGCCTCCACCTGTCGATCACCGGCCAACGGCCGCTAGCAGCACGGCGATGCGCAGCACGACGGCCTCCAGCAACGCGGTGGTACGCAGCACGACGTTGAGCAGGTCTGCAGCACGACGAGGAGAAGCACGGCGGAGACGGGCACCACATCGCGTTCCAGCACTACGGAAGAAAGTGCCGCCGCCTTGTTCACAAGTCGCAATCAAGCATCACGTCGGTATCTTGCGCTACAGACTCGAACACCACGTCGATATGCAGCACCGCATGACTTGAACGCGACCACGATGCCCCTCCGACGACAGCTCTGGATCCGACCCCAGCCCCGACTCCAGCGCTAGTTTCAACACGAGCACCGATGCCCCAGCCCTGACTTTCCTGCTGATGCCACGGCTCCCGCACCAGCTCCGACTCCCAGCCAGCGCCAGCCCCAGCTCTGACCCCAGCCCCGACTCCAGAGACAGTCCCAACACCAACTCCGACTCTCCAGCTCCGACTACCTTGTCGCTGCCACGGCCCCGCTGCTAACTCCGACTGAGGCAGCTGGTGCAAGACTGTATCAGCGAGCTGCCCAGCTAACCGGTGTTCTCACCAAGTGGTTGCCAGACAAACAGAGCCAAAGCAGCCACAACGCACCAGTGAGTTGCCCAGCTAAGCGGTGTTCTAGGAGCAAACCGGATTACGCCTCCGCTACTGCGTGGGGCATGCTCCGGCCCACAATATAGCATAGCTTTCAACATCCATTTATTCCGGCGCCGACGCGAGCACCGATGGCAGCATTCCTTCGGATCAGCTGCACGACGTTGAGCAGCGGTGCTTTTGATCAGCACATCCGCTGCCAGCAGCATAACGTTCCGCAGCACGACGACGCGCAGGTCGGCAGCACGACGCTAAGCCCAGCACCAGCAGCACGACTATGGACAACGACGTGCAGCACAACTGACGCAGCACTGCAGAACTTGAACGCGACCACGGTGCCCCTCCGACGACAGCCCCGGCTCCGACCCCAGCCCCGACTCCAGCGCTAGTTTCAACATCAGCTCCGACTCCCCAGCCCTGACTTCCTGCCGCTGACACGTCTCCGACGTCAGCTCCGACTCCCAGCCAGCGCCAGCCCCAGCTCTGACCCCAGCCCCGACTCCAGAGCCAGTCCCAACACAATTTCCGACACCCCAGCTCAGACTGCCTTGCCGATCGCACGGCTCCGACGCCAGATCTGACCCCCCTTCCAACGCCAGATCTCACTCCCCCCTCCGACGCATAGCTTTCAACATTCCTTCGCTCCAGGACCGACGCCAGTCCACGCCAGCACCGACGCCAGTACTGGCGCCAGCACCGACGCCAGCCTCAACGCCTGCGCTTACGCCGGCGCCAGCGCCAGCGCCTACGCCAGCGTCGACGCCAGCACCGACGCCAGCACCGACGCCAGCACCAACGCCAGCGTCAGCGTCTACGTCGGCACCAGTGCAAGCGCCTACACCAGCACCGATGCCAGGACCGACTGCAGCACCAATGCTTGCGCGTGCTCAAGCGCCGACGCGAACACCGACGGCAGGCAGCGTCAGCAATGAAGACGACAAAGGCAAGCACTACCAGTGGGGCAACCATCGCTGGCAAGTTTACGACGCCGGTGAGGTACATGACCATCATCGTTACTACTGCCGCCGTGGTCACCCAGCCAGGTACTGGCGCCCCTGCCACTCATATCAAATCCGATGCCGTTGTCTCATCACCTACGCCTCCACATCTACCTCTCCATCTTGCCGTACCCTGGCCACCACCATTACCACTCCACTCTCTAATTCGGTGCACAACCTCAGAGCGGAATGTTGCACAGACGGTCCATTGGCAGGGCCGGTACATGTGTGCATGTGTCCAAGCGCCCATCGGCCTCCATCCTATTCGGTGACGGTTATCTCTGCAAGTACTTTTTCTACTGGCTTCTCGACTTGTCCGTCAACCTGTGAGCTCCGGCTCTTGACTCTCTTTGGTCTGCCTGTTGTCCTGTACAGCATTGCAAAGCTGCAATTAATGGGGTCGCGTGAGTCCCTTACGTTTATCCCCTCGATTCCCCTTTCTCCTATTCTTCCTCTTCTTCCTTCTCGACATTGAGAGTATCCGCTTCCACACGCTTGGTCCGTCTTTCAAGTGCAACCGCTTTCTTTGTATCCTGCATCTGTTGTCGTATCAAGACGCGTTTCGGCTTAGCTGTTGCCGCAATTCTGTGCGATGCCAAGTTTTGTCGCTCGAGCTTGGCACTTGGTCATTCGATCCCTCCTCGTCCTCCTCCTCCGCCCTCGCCCTCTTCTCTCTAGGCACTGTGAGTGTCCGATTCCACGTTCTTGGTGAGGAAGAAAACGGTTTTCAAAGGCAGCCGTTTTTTTTTGCCTTGCATCTTTTCCTCATCATGATGTGTTTTTCCCCAGTTTTCGGTGTGGCTGGTATTATCGTTACGACGTTGGTTGCTGTGGCATGTTGTCCGCTCAGTAACACACAGACAACTGCGCCTTAGCGCCAACACGCGTCGCCCTGTAGAAAGTGGCACAAGTTTCGACGTGGATCCACTCCAGGCCCCAGGCCTTGCTCCATCCTTGCCATCGTCCTCTTCCCACTGTCTCGCCAAGAGAACGCGACGTGGGGAACCAAGGACAATCCACTCGCATTGCTGTGCGCAGACTCTTCGCGGGACGAGGGCGGAGAGAAGGAAGGAAACAAAATGAGGGGAGGGCCGTGTTTTGCTGGAGGTCGGTTTGCCAATCCTGCCGTCGGGCCTCAGCACGCTCCCGTCGCATGTGCTTGTTTTTGGGCAGGCTGGGCGAGGAGGACGAGGAGGAAATAGGACGAGGAAATAGGAGGGCCTCGAGGAGGATGGACGGACTAGGATGGACGGAAATGGAAATAGGAGGGCCTCGAGGAGGAGGAAATACGACGAGGAAATAGGACGAGGAAATAGGAGGGCCGCGAGGAGGATGGAACAGGACGAGGAAGTAGGAGGGCCTCGAGGAGGACGGACGAGGCGGACCAGGCCTCCTCGCTGCGCGCCGCTCGGACACGGTCCCAGCTGGCCACTGGGCGGCCTGAGCTGCCCGACGCGGTCGCCGTCCCCTTCTTCCCGAGAGTGCGCGCGTGGCCCCACGGGGGGACCAGTGAAGGTGCATCAGGGGGGTGCGCGGTGTTTGGCGTCAGGGGGGAGGCGCGCGTGGCCCACACCGGGCTGGCGCTCGCAGGAGGAGGCGGAGGAGTGAGGGGGAAAATATGAGGAGGAGGGCAAGGAGGAGGAGGAGGAGGAGGAGGAGAGGAGGAGGAGGAGGAGGAGGAGGAGGATGACGAAAAGAAGGAGGTGGAGCAGGTGGGGGCAGAAGGAGGAGGCGGATGATGAGGAAAATGAGGAGGAGGACGAAGAGGAGGACGAAGAGGAGGACGATGAGGAGGACAAGGAGGAGGAGGAGGAGGAGAAGAGGAGGAGGGGGATGAGACGGAGGAGAAGACGGAGAAGACGGAGGAACCGTAGGAGAAGAAGGAGCAGGAGAAGCACAAGGACGAGGAGGAGGATGTGGAGGACGACAAGGGAGAGGAGACAGGAGGCATGTAGGACAGGCGTTGGTTGAGCAGAATCAGGCAGAGGGGAAGGAGGACGAGGAGGAGGAGGAGTGCAGATCAGGAGGAGGAGGAGGAGGAGGAGGAGGAGGAGGAGGAGGAGTGCAGATCAGGAGGAGGAGAGGAGGAGGAGGAGGAGGAGGAGGAGTGCAGATCAGGAGGAGGAGGAGGAGGAGGAGGAGGAGGAGCGGAAAGCCTGCCACCGCCGCTGTCTCCCTCCTCCTGGCGCTCTACAGAAAAGGCGGGCGTTGACCGGCTCGGACGACGGCGCGGTGCGGCTCTGGCACCTCGGCATGGGCTGCGAGCTCCGGGTCCTGCGCGGCCGCGGCGGCAGTGCGTGGCGCTGGGGTGGAGGGAGGAACGGGAAAGCAGGGGGATGAGGAAAGGGAGGAGGAAGGAGAGGAGGAGAGCAGGAGGAGGAGGAGGAGGAGGAGGAGGAGGAGGAGGAGGAGGAAGAGAAGAGGAAGAGGAAGAGGAAGAGGAAGAGGAAGAGGAAGAGGAAGAGGAAGAGGAGACGGGAGGAGGAGACGGGAAGAGGGGAAGGGGGAGAAAGGATGATCGGCGGGGTTGGCGGCGGGTTGCATGGGGAGTGGCGGGGGAGAGGTGTAGGAGCCGAAGGGGGAAACGATACCGATGTTGCTGCCCTTCCTTGTCGCCACGGCTGGGTTCGTTTCGAAATCCTGGCAGAGCGCACCCCAGGAGAAATCCGTGGAGCATCGGTATCGGTCTCTCTCTCTCTCTCTCTCTCTCTTTTCAGAGGATGGAAAGGAAGAGAGGGAGGCAACATGGCGTGGGAACGGGGAAGGACTGGGATTGGCGAGGATGGCGGAAGGGGTGCAGGAGGGAAGGAAGAGGTGAATGATGAGGATGAGGATGAGGATGAGGATGAGGATGAGGATGAGGATGATGATGATGATGATGATGATGATGATGATGATGATGATGATGATGATGATGAGGATGAGATGAGGATGAGGATGAGGATGAGGATGAGGATGAGGATGAGATGAGGATGAGGATGAGGATGAGGATGAGGAGGATGAGGAGGCTGAGGAGGAGGATGAGGAGGAGGATGAGGAGGAGGATGAGGAGGAGGAGGAGGAGCCAGAGGAGGAATATCTACCGATGCCGCTACCCTTCCCTCGTCGCCACGGCTGGGTTCGTTTCGAAGTCCGGATCTGGAAGCACCCCAGGAGAAGTCCGAAGAGTATCGGTATCGGTATCTTCGTCTTCCATCGAGGAGGTGAGGGAGGAGACAGGCAGCGGGAAAGGAGATGGAGGATGATTTCCGAGGGTGGCGGAAGGGTGCAGGGGACAAGAAAGGAAGAGGGCGAGGTGCATCAGGACGAGGAGATTTAATGATGCCAGACGGACGCGGAGGAGGAGGAGGGTTGTATGGGCAACTGGGAGGAGGAGACGAAAGGTAATTCGGACTGACGATGGGCAGGACAAGAGTAGGCAGAGGATGGGAAGGAGGAGGAGGAGCAGAGCAGAGCAGAGCAGATCCTCGTGGAGTCCCTGTCAAGCCAACGATCTCGGAGCCCGAGAATACTTGACTGTACTCTGAGAGGGTTCCTTCGAAACCAGACGTCTCACCATGCAAGCCCCTCTAAGACTCACAGCGCGCAACCTGCACTGGCCGACTGGTACCCCTTTGGGCACGCAGCCCTCAGCGCGGGGCCGTACGTCAGGCGCGACGACCTCTTCCCGCCCCCCGCCCGCCAGAGCTCACCCCCCGCCTCCTTTTCCCAGGGTGTCGGCCGCCACGGCCACGATTCGAAGGCATACGAATTATTGGAATCTGAGGAACACTAACTACTGCGAAACCTTCTGGAAGAAAAGCCTGGGAGGCTTACTTAGGTACTGCTCGATCAATCTCCTCACGGGTTAGTCTACCTGTTGCGACTAAGGATGCTACCCTAACACTGCCTTGCACTATCTGACTCCGACGCTCAGTCACTTCACTGCTTACACTCGCGCTGCCTTCTACGACGCCTTGCGATCTAGGTGCTTCGAGAGTTCCCTCTCCAGCGGCCCCCTCGGTGCTGTTCCTGAAGGGACCCCCTTCCTCCACAGCCACGAGTGTCTCGATCATCGGGCCCGCCACGGAGCCAATCGTCTGAGGGGAGATCCATCCTGAAGGGAAAGGTAGACTCGTCCTTCTGGACCTCGACTTTGCGATGAAGGCGGACGCGACAGTACTGGACCGCTCGGGCCACACCCGACATCAGTGACTTGCTGAGCCTCTCGTCGCCATAGTATCGCGTGTCTTTCTTGATCTTCTCCGCCCGCAGCTTCATCGAAGAGTCTCCCTCTTCCGCCACTGATTTCGTTGCCCCGTACCCCCAGACTGCGATGCATATCATGATGTGTGGAGCTCTGCGTTCTTTGTGGTTGACCCGGTCTCCACCCTTTGCGCGCTTCGTCATCTCTTTGCTCTCCTCTTTGCTGGCCGCTCCTGCCGCGACAGCGGCCACGATCATGCCCTGGCCTGCGTCCATCTCGTAGCGCAAGTAGCATACTGCCCCGAGGTCCATGAGCTCTCGACTGTTGGCGAGAATGGGCTTGCAAATTACCAGGATGATCTTGTCGATTGGGACTCGACCCCCTTGGCCCCAAGCCTCTTTCGTCTTCTGTTTCTTGGAGTCGGGCTGGGACCCATTTGCGGCGGAGGCGCTGGCACCGCTGCACCGAGCAGGTCTCTGGAGAGCCTCGATTTACAGGGTTGAACCCCTGAGCATCGGTGGTTAAAGGTTAAAGTACGAGCAATGGACACAAAGGGCGCCATCTCGACAGGACGATGGCTCCTGAGATGACGACACAGGCAGCGTGTCCACCCCCACAGACTCACAGCACACGCATTCGTAGGAGGACGGGGTCACAAGCGGGGTTCAAAGTGCGAGGTCCACATGTCATACAATTGCCCTTCTGGAATGAGCGTAATAGATGACGGGCCGCTGTGACGGGCGTAGCGGACGTTTGAAGACAGTGCATGCACACGTTGTTCGGCGTAAGTGCATGCGCCAGACCACTTATAGTATGACAGTGGCGTAGGTGCTCGAGTAGCTGTTTGCTGGTACTGAAGGCACTCTGGCAGGGCTCCCACCGAGGTCCATCGGGCACTGAACGGGCAACGTATCCTCGACCCGTTCTTCGCGTTCTGCTAGGGGCCTTGCAGGAGTGAGATTACCAGGAGGAGGAGGAGGAGGAATACAGACCGAACAAACTAGACTACGACGTTCTGTCGGATCCACCCTCTGAAGCGCCCCTGATGCCTCCGAATCTGCAAGTAGTCGCAGGTCACCTGCACCATCTCTCACACCCTGGTGCGGAAGAAGCCCGGAAGCTCGATCTCGATCAGATGCCACTTGTGTTGTCCACGGCGTGGCCTGTGCGGCCGGTCTGCCCTCGCACAGCTAGGGCGTCATCGACTCGAGGGTAAGGAGGAGGCGGAGAAGGAGGAGGAGATGGAGGCGTTGAAGAGGAGAGGGATGTTGCTTTGTTTGTGTTTTGAGAATGGGCAGAAGGAGAAAGACGACGACCACAACGAGTGGGATGCATGATTGTGGACCTGGGGGGATTTGGAGGAGAGTTGGAGGAGGGGAATACAGGAAGATACGAAGGAGGAGGGGGAGCAGGAGGATGAGGAGGAGAGAAGCGTAGGAGTAGGAAGAGGATACGGACGAGTAGGGGGGAGGGATGGCGGATGAGGAAAATGGAAGGGAAGGAGGGGGGAGGGAGGGGGGGGAGGAGGAGCAAGAGGGGGAGCAGGAGGGGGAATACCAGAAGGAGGAGGAGGAGGAGGAGGAGGAGGAGCATGAGGATACGAGCGGGTGGGTGGAGGATGGATGGGGAGAGGCATCGGATGGAGGGGGAGGACGTGGAGAATGGGTGGAGGGATGAGGGAGGGTGGGAGATCGAGGAGGAAGAGAGCCAGAGCAAACCAAGGATGCATCGACGATGCTGCAAGACACCCGCCCGTCCCAACCCTCCTCATCGCAGGTCTCTGCCAACCCCTCAGCTTCTCTGCAAAGTGTGCCCCCACCTGGTGGGCCTCTGCCATTCGGGCGGACGCCACGCTTTGAAGAGGAACTGCCTTGACTTGCCTTGCCTTGCCTTGCCCTGCCTCCTCCTCCTCCTCCTCCTCGTCTTCCTGCCCCCCCCCCTCCTCCTCCTCCTCCTCCTCCTCCTCCTCCTCCTCCTCCTTTTCCTAGAGTTCAATGATGTGCCCATCGAGAATGCAATTTTGAAGTGGAACCACCCCCCATGCGTGCTACTGCTGCGCAATTTCGCACGGGAGGAAGTCTCGAGCGAGAGCCCCATGTTCAAAAGAAGCCGCGTTCCATGCGAGCAGATGCTGCAGGGGTTGAACTTTCTTGTCGTTCAGGGTATGGAAGTCCTAAATGGGAGCACCTTTTGTGGAAAACAGCCATCCTCCATCATTGTAGCTGTTGCAAGTTTGTATGACGAATGCGCTCGGCGCTAAGGCGAGAGCCACGCTTTGAAAAGGAAACGCCCTGCATCATCCCTACATCCTTGTAGCTGCCGCAAGCTGCTTGGGACGAATGCGCGCAACGAGTAGGCGAGAGCTAAATTTGGAACGCGTGCCAGTCTCCATCTTGACAGCCGCTGAACAGCTTTGCAACGACTGTGCCCGGCGTCGTCGCGAGAGCCGCATTTTGAGCGCCACCCGACCTTCACTCGTGCAACTGGTGGAGCTGTTTGAACAGAACGTGCTTGACATCAAAGCGAGGGCCTCATCTTAACCCTCGATTGGCTCCCTATCTTTGCAACGCTTGGAGCTTCAGCTCCGTGGCCGTGCATCGCAAGGGGAGTATCAAGCGAGACGTCTGGCTTGACCTCCAGACGCGGCCTGGTGGCGCGACACGGGAAGCCTTGTGAGGAAGAGGGGTGGAGGAGGATGAGGAGTACATATAGGAGGAGGATGAGGAGGAGGAGGAGGAGAACGAGGAGGAGGAGGAGGAGGAGGAGGAGGAGGAGGAGGAGGAGGAGGAGGAGGAGTAGAGGAAACAAGGATGAGGATGGACGGTGCGGAGATGGAGGGCGTGGGGGTAGGAGGATCGGGAGGTGCTTGGCGTCGAGCTGGACGCTGGGCTGCGCGCTGTCAGGACGCGGGCGGGAGAGACGAAAGCGCAGCTGGGGCCACGTTGCGGGTTCCAGGAAGGGCCGGGCCGGGCCCCAGGGGGTCGAGGGAGCTGGCATCTCTTCCCCGCCAGATGGCGGCCTCGTTTTGCCCTCGCTGTGCCCGTCTGGTTCTGCCACGGGCAGTTTGCTTGCAGCTCCCCTCCTGCTGATTTCTCTCGTGCTCCATCCTTCCCCCTCACCCCTCCATCCGTCCTCGCTTCCCCTGCTTCAGGGGCTGCTTTCAATGCACGCGGCGGGTTCGGAAGAGAGCGAGCATTCTTGCAACGATTGTTGTTGCTGTTGCTGGTGGTAAGTGTTCTTGGTGTTGCTGCTGCTGTTGTTGTTGTTGTTGTTGTTGAACATTATTTATTCTAAAGAATAATTATTGTTGGGCCCCCTGGTGCGCGCCCCCCCTGCGCCGCCTAGGCCGCAGCTACATTTTCATCATTTTCGTGAGGAAGCCTCAGAAAAGAGGGTGTGTACAGGATCCGGTTGTTTTGTTGTAATCCGCTTTCCCTTGCAAAAAACAATAGAAAATGACATTTCTTGTTCTAATATAATCAAATTTCAAGAATCCCTTGCAAAAAATAAGGTAAAGTGGACATTCGCGCGCGCAAGACGAAATCCTTCCAAAACCTTAGTGTTCGCAGCGATTTTAACATAAAAACATCAAAAAACCAATGGTTTTTCAACAAAAAATTGTCAAAATCTCATCCCGCGCGCTCTTGCGGATTCGTAGGAAACCCAACACTTTTTAAACATTTCTGTCAAACGGGCTTTTGCGAGCAACTTTTTCGAACTTCTGCAACAACGGTTGCGCACCTGCCAGGGCCATCATCCCTGTCAAATAATACCATGCGGGACACATTCGTTTTTTCTTCGCGCGCGCACGCCGTCGTCGTCGGCCGCGGGGCCCTGAATAGTAGCCACGGTCGTCCGCATGCCACGAAGTGAAGTGTCCGAACGTCATAGGGCGGGAAGCTGGGTGTGGGTGGTGGCGAAGAGTCGTTTGGAAATTTGGTAGAGCTTGAACCGGCCCCCCCACAAAGTGGGGGTATTGCCCGCCTCCTATGAAAACCCTGGCACTGGTGAGAACGGAGTGTCCCCACGTGCTAGTAATTGTTGTTGTTGTTGTTGTTGTTGTTGTTGTTGTTGTTGTTGTTGTTATTGTTGTGGTTGTTGTTGTCGTCCACCTTCCCTCCACCCATCCCGTACTCACGTCCGCCCCCGTCCCTCCAGTTCCCTCCCTCCCTCCCTCGCCCCTCCATCCATTTCACTTTCCCCTCGCCGCTCCCCCTCCCCCCTCCCCTTCTCCCGCCTGTGACGCCCCCATCCCTCGCTCCCCCTCCCCTCCCCTGCTCCCTTGCCCTAGCTCCCTCCCATCCTTCCCCTCTCCGCCGCTCCAGCTCTTCTCTCCCTTCCTTCCTCATTCTTATCGCACTTCCCTTTCCTTCCCCCCTCACTCCCCAGCCCCAACCAGGAGGCGACGACGCCTCGCTGAAGGTTTGGAACCTGGACAGCGAGGAGAGGAACTGTGCGTCGACAGATGGAGAAGTGAACAAATGGGAGGGTTCAAGAGGAAGGGGAGAGGAAGGTAGGGTACTTGAGGCGAGAGAGGCAAGGAGGGACAATCTGTGGGGTACGAGGAGAGTTTTGGAACGCTCGCCAAGATCGGAGGGGATGACCCTGATCGGAGGGGGGCGCAGATGTAAGTGGACCAGAGCATGCGAGGTGATGCTAAGGCTCCAAGGTGAGGCTGAACCTGCGAAGGTGAAAAGATCAGTATCCATTAAAATTGTCGTCCATGTCATGCTCCTCACCTTTACTATCCTTCAAGCGTCACCTGCCACCCACCTGCACAGAAAGGGGACGTGTTGTCACAGTCGTTGTCAGTGCCGCGCGGCCCTACCCCTCGCCAGTCGGGCAGCTGACTGCTCAGGCGACGACGGTGACGACGACGACCGTATGGTAGGTTCGCGTCGTGTCGACCGGCGGCGACCCCGCCGCTGGCGTGAACCCCACTGGCGACCCGGAGTCGATCGATGTTGAACGATCCGACGTTTCGGACACGGTCGATCGTTCAAGGTTGAACGAGCCCCGCGGTGTCAGAAACCAACGCTGGGGTCGACACAACACTATCCTGCCATAGGTCAACTGCCGGGGGCGCGAAGGTCCCCGCGCTTCGCGCGCTGCGGTCCGGGCCCAGAGCGATTGCCCTTCTCCAGAGTGGTGGCCTGCTGGCGCGAAGATGTTCGCGGGGCGCGATGCGCGAAGTTGGGTAACCTGGGCGCTCTGGACCGCTTCCTGGAAAGGCAGCTTTGCGTGTCGGACCTTTTTTCGACGGTCCCGGGGCCCGGCGAGGGCCCCCTTGCGCCGCAAACCATAATTTTCGGTGATGTTTCTCAATGCGTTGGAAGTCTTGGGGGCGCCGACCGAAGCGGCGCCCACGAGCGACCTGACAGGGCCGTGTGACCCCTCGCCGCGCAAGTGGGAGGAACCGGTCGGGGAGCTGACGGGCCACGGCATGCAGGTGAACTGCGTGGCCATGAGGCCCACGGGCCTCAGATGCCGCAGGGTGGTCCGCATCCTCCTCCGCTTCGGCCTTCTGCTGCTTCTGCTGCTCCTCCTCCTCCTCCTCCTCCTCCCCCTCCTCCTCCTCCTTCTCCTCCTCCATCCCTTTCCTTCACCAGTGTCAGCCAGTGTGGACCCCAAGCAGTGTGCTTCTAGAACACTATGTGGTGCAATCTACGTTGGATTTTGGGAAGTTGGACTTGTCAACTCCCCTGCTCGCGCAATCATCTCACCCCTTCGCAACTTGGTCTGCAAAACCAGCGCGGTGGCGATTGCGATAAGTGCTCGGCGTTGGCTGGGGCATCTCTGCGGCCGCGCTAGCCCGCGCATGCTCGCGCGGACAGCGGCCAGCTAGTTTGACGCGACCGACGAGGCCGCGGTGACGCTGACCGCTGGGCACTGTCTAGCGGGCATTTCAGTGCGAGTCGGTGATTTTGGCGGGCGCGGTATCATGGCGACGTCGACATTGGTAGACACGATCACGATAGTAGCGAGGATGGTGACGATGATGACGATGACGACGGCAAGGCTAATGACGGCGCCGATGGTGATCACGCCGATGATGATGACGATGTCTTCGCGCCGGTGATATTTTTCTTGAAGGAAAAAACGGAACGAGTTCGATATGCAAGCCCGGCCGGCGCGCGCGAGTGACCCGCCATGTATTATTTGACAGGGACCGCCCCCCCAGGCACGCGCGCAAGAGCATCCGAATGATGTCGACATGCCCACGCGAAAGGCACTTTTGATAGCATTTGATGAACCTGTTGAACATCCATGGTTTTCTTGAGATTTCGCAGAAGCGAGCGCGCAACTTTTGTTTGGACGCGGTCGTTGCAAAGCCATGTGTTTTTTGGTATCGAATGGTTTTTGGTTCATCCCGCCACCGTGCCTCGGTTGTGGGCACGAAGCCTTTTGGATGTTCGTTGGGATCTCGTGGGGGGGTCTTCGGGGGCCTCCTGGAGGCAGTTTGGACGCCTCTTGGGGGCCGTTTGGGGGCCTCTTTGGGCCTCATTGGGCCTCGTGGGGGCTTCCTGTGGCTGGGGCTTCTTGGGGCCCTCTTGGGCGCAGGTGGGGCCTCCTGGGCACCTCTTTGGGCCTCCTGGGGGCCTCTTGGAGCGGAAGCTTGGATTTTCGGTTCGTGATCCCTCTTTGGGGCTCCTTTCGGGGCCGTCTTGGGGCACTCTTGGGCCGTTTTGGGCGACTCTTGGGCTGTTTTGGAACCCTCTTGGGCCATTGTGGGGCTCTCTGGGAGGCTTCTTGGGCCGTCTAGGGGGATCTTGGGGGCCTGGGCGGGCACTTCAGTGCGAGGCGGTGCCTTGGGCGGGCGCGGTCTCGTGGCGACGCCGACAGCGATGCGCGCGATTATGAAAGTAGCGATGACGGTGACCATGGTGGCGCTGACGACGGCATGGCCAATGGCGGCGCGGACGTTGATTGAGCCCGCCGACAGTGATGACGATGTCCTCGCGTCGGCGACGACGGTTTTAGATGAACATATGTTTCGGGGTTTAAAAAATTATGGGCTTTTTAAGTTCACAAGGGCGCGAGCGCATGCATGTCTGAAAAACTGTCGTTGAAAAACCATGCGTTTTGGTTTTGGGACCCGCACGCAACCAACAGTTGTTTGAGGATTTCGGCACGCGCGCGCGACGACGCGCGCGTGCGCACTTCGTTCCATTTGCTCTAGGGGATTCTAGAAACTGGTGCTTGTTGATCAATGAGAGCGCGCGCGTAGTATTATTTGACAAGGGTGAACTCGATTTCAGGGTGGACGATGGCGCAGGATCTTATTATTGTGCAGTCGGGCTTCTCTTTCGACAGCACGCGCGCATGGGCGTTCGAGCGATTTCGACATGCGCGTGCGCGCGAAACCCGCTTGGTTGCATGTTATGACAATGCTGAAGCACTCACGTTTTCTGTTGAAAAAAGAATTCGCAAGAGCGCGCGCGCAAACTTCTTTGAACATTGTTCTGTTGCGAATACATGTGTTCTTCGTCTGTGTTTTGGACAGTTGATTTTGAAATCCTTACGACACCTATTGTGTGTTTACAACGTCCTTTTGAAGGATGTGGGCATGCGCGCGCGACGACGCGCGCGAGTGCACTTCGCCCTTGATGTTTAATGGGTTATGGAACATGGCTGTTTTTTGATATCCGGGTGCGCCAGCACAGTTATTTTGACAGGGGCAAGGGGGATTCCAGTCTTGTGTAGCTGGGATGATACGAGTTCATGTGTACGATACACGATGGGGCAGACTCATCCGTACATTACAATACGAAAGGTGGCCCGTTAACCCTCAGGGCTGTGGGGGAATAGAACCAACACTGTTTCAAAAAAGGATAATTAATGTCTGCTCGCAACGAGTTGTCCAGTTCACTGCTCACGCAACCGTCCTGCCCACACGCCCGAAACTTGGCCTGCCAAACTCATGCGACGGCGATTTCGATCAGTGCTTGGCGTTGGCTGGTGCATATACGCGGCCGCGCTAGCGCGCGCATGCCCGCGCGCGGCGCGACCAGCTACTTTGGCGCGACCGGCGCGGCCGCGGTGGCGCTGACCGCTGGGCACTTCCCCGCGGGCAGTTCAGTGCGAGTCGGGGCCTTGGGCGGGCGCGATACCATGGCCACGGCGACAACGGTAGACACGATGATGGTAGTTGCGATGCTGGTGACGATGGTGACAACGGCGACGGGAAAGCCAGTGATGGAGCCGATGCTGATCGATCACGCCGACGACGATGACGCCGTCCTCGCGACGGTTACGAGGGTGTTGCAAGGAGTTCGACATGCGAGCACGGCCGACGCGCGAGAGTGGCCCTCATGGTACTATTTGACAGGGATCGTGCCCCCCCCCAGCGCGCGAACCCATAGGTGTTGAGATATCAATGGTTCCTTTTTCTGAATTTACAATAGCGCGAGCGCGGTTGTTTGATAACCATGTATGCGAAACCGCGTGTGTGTGTGTATATGCTTCCTGGGCACTATTTAAAACATCCGTACGACATGTATGGTTTGTTTGAAAGATTTTGGCATGCGCGCGCGACGACGACGCGCGCGTGTGCACTTCGTATAATTTCTCTGTTTTGTTTCATGGTTTGTTGGCACGGCTGGTTTTTTATTTATAAACAAGCGAGTAATCGCATGGTGTCTACTGCAGAGGCTGATGGGGGGGGCGACAGCGTTTTGCTTGGGATGGTATGAACTCATATCTTGGATGGGCGATGGGGCAGAACCGCATGCACATTGCATTACGAAAACAGGAACCGTTCATTCGGGAGGGAATAGATCCTACTTCATGGTTTCGGTCATTCCGCCGGCCCGCATTGTGCCACCGCTGGCGCTTGCCAGCGCGTTCGTGGCCCATGCGGCGCTGCTTGGCGGTGCTCGTTATTTTGTTGTTGATTTGTTTTGTTTCCTGGAGGTGTGGCGACAGCAAGCATGGAGGTAAAGTAGTTGTTTTGGAACATGTCGTGGGATTTTGGCTTCTACTGCCCAGCGACATGGCTAGGTTGTGGGTCACAGTCAGGGATGCGTCTTGGGATCTCTTCAGAGCTCTTTCGGGGGCTTTTGGAAGTTAGTTCTGACGACTCTTGGGAGCGTCTTGGGATCGTCTTGGGAGCCTCTTTTGGGTCTCTTTGGCCTTTCTGGGGCCCCTTGGCGGCCCCTTGGAGCCTCTTAGGGCCCCTTTGGGCTTCCTGGGCCCCTAGTAGATAGTGAATAACATTGAGATAGGACTGGAGAGACAGGGCCAACAAAAAAAAAACCTTGGGCCTCCTGGAGGCGTCTTTGGGCCGAGGGCTCGACATGTCCGTTCGGGTCCCCCGTCGGGGTTCTTTTTGGAGCTGGCATCGGGGCCTCTTGGGCCGTTTTTGGAGGCCTCTTGCGCCGTCTTGGGGTCTCTTGGGCCGTCTTGGAGCCCGCTTTGGGACTTCTTGGGTTGTTTTGGGACGATCTTGGAGGCCTCTTAGGCCGTCTTTGAGCGCCGGGAAGCCGCAAAGGCGAGAATGCTGAATTCTGCCTTCGGGGACCCTCTGGGGAGTGCTCTTGAAGAGCTTTTGGGCCGTCTGGGGGCCATCTTAGGCGTCTTGGAGCGATCTTGTGGTGACCTGGACGCATCTTGGACCATCTTGGGGGCCACAGTTTCAAACGAAGACCCTCAGTGAGGGCATCCAGTCTCCGAAGGATGAGGAGGAGGAGGAGGAGGAGGAGGAGGAGGAGAAGAAGGGTGGTGTGATGGAGGCGGGATGGGACGTAGTCGTGTTGACATCTCCCCGAGCAGTCGGGCGTAAGGACTCAGCCCTGGCCTGCAGAGGCAGCGCAGCGGTCCACCTCTGCTGAAGCCGCCGCAACGCATGCCGAGCTACCAAAGCCGGCAAGGCTTCAAGGTCAACAGTAGGGCCTGAAGTTCAAGAGGGCACGTTTAATCGGCCCAGCAGTGTGATTCCGCATACAATGGGCATTGTTTCATTGGCATTGGCACATTTGCTTAAGCCGCCTTGAGCGGTGCAGCGCTGCAAATTGGGGGGATCGCGGGGAGATTTGTGAGGTGGGGCTTGGTGGGTCAGGTTGTCATTATCCCAGAGCGACCCTACCTAGGAGTTGGAGCCCCTAGGAGAGCAATATTGGTAGTAACGGTCAAGGCCGTCCTCGTCCTTCTCCTCATCGTCGCACTTGTAGCGGTAGTAGTAGTAGTAGTAGTAGTAGTAGTAGTAGTAGTAGTAGTAGTAGTAGTAGTAGTAGTAGTAGTAGTAGTCGTAGTAGTCGTGGTAGTCGTAATAGTCGTAATAGTCGTAATAGTCGTAGTAGTCGTAGTAGTAGTAGTAGTAGTAGTAGTAGTAGTAGTAGTAGTAGTAGTAGTAGTAGTAGTAGTCGTAGTAGTCGTAGTAGTAGTAGTAGTAGTAGTAGTAGTAGTAGTAGTAGCAGCAGCAGCATAGTAGTAGTAGTAGTAGTCGTCGTCGTCGTCGTCGTCGTAGTAGTAGTAGTAGTAGTAGTAGTAGTAGTAGTAGTAGTAGTAGTAGTAGTAGTAGCAGTAGCAAGAGTAGTAGCAGTAATGGTACAACTTAATACCTACATCTACATCTAGACCTACATCCACATCTACACTTACAGCTACATCTACATGTACATCTGCATCGACATATACATCTACATCTACAACTACACTCACATCGAAGCCAAGCTAAGCTAAGTTAAGCTAAGTTAAGATGAGATGTGCTATTCTAAGTTAAACTAAGCTAAGCTAAGCTACGCTAAGCTGAGCTGGACTGAGCTAAGCTAGGCTAGGCACAGCTAAGTTAAGCTACGCTAAGCTAGGCTAGGCTAGGCAAGGCTAGGCTAAGCTAAGCTAAGCTAAGCTAAGCTAAGCTAGGCTAGGCTAAGCTAAGCTAAGCTAAGCTGGGTGAACCCAGGGGGCGCAACTGGGGGAACCGCGGGGCGGGGCCTGGGGGAACCGCCCGGGGCCAGATGCACTGCCCGGCCCCTTTAAGACAGAGAGCAAGAACCCTCTAGGCAGAGCCTAGGTAGGGAAAAATGTCAACCACGTATCTCGAGCATCAGCCACGTATCTCGCTGCAGCCTCGTGCCGCTGCCATGTAGTTCATGCTTCCCCGACCGCGCGGAGGTGTTCCCGTTTAGTGCTGACCATGGGGGGATCTGAGAGGGGACACCCCAGGACATGTCCCCGGTCACGGGCGGAACGCGGCTTCCGCGGGCGGAAAGCGGCCGTTGTCGGCCCCATTTCTTTGGGCCTCCTAGATGGGGTCCGTGTGGATGGGGTCGGAGGATCGCGCCGCATCGCCGACGTATCGGCGATGTGGCTTCACGCCGACGTCGCCGGTGCATCGCCGATGTCGACGATGCATCGATGGTGCATCGCCAATGCATCGTCGACACATCGCCAATGCATCGTCGATGTATCTGCGATGCGGCGCGATCCTCTGACCCCATCCACTCGGACCCCATCTGGGAGGGTTCGAATTTCGGCAGACGGGCGGCACGGGCGTCCCCAAGATGGCCCGCAAGGTGGTCCAAGGGGGCCACGAGTCGCCGAAAGATCGGTCCAAGACGCGCAAGATGGCTTCAAGATGTTCCAAGAGGCCTTCAAGAAGCCTCCAGGAGGGCCTCCAAGAGGGCCTGGAGAGGCAACCTGTGTAAATTTCGGGGAGGTTTCTCCATGTTTTTCGCGTCTCCTCTTTTCTGGCTTCCCGAAACACCCAGACGGCCCAAAGAGGCTCCACAGGTCGCCCCAAGACGGCCGAGGAGGCCCGAGGGCGCCCTCACGGCCCGAGAGGCCCCCAAGACTGCCCAAGAGGCCTCCAAGATGGCCCAGGAAGGCTCCAGCATCGACCCAAGATGGGCCCCTAGAAGGGAGTACGGACCAACATGTCCAGCTTTTCGCCCAAATAGACCCCCAGGAAGCCCCAAGAGGCCCCCAAGAGGCCCCAAGACGCCTCCAAGAGGTTTCCAGGAAGCCCCCAGAGGCCCTGTAGACAAAGTGGCACAGCGTCAAACAGACAACATGGGAACCAGCATCATACGCCTTAACGCGGCGCGGCATCAAGCGGACAACATTGGAATCAGCATCATTCGCCCTACAGGCATCTTTTTTGTTTTCCTATTCCTCGCAAGTCACGCCCACCTAACCTCCAAGGTCAGAGTTTGTGGCAACATCTGGTTGCTTTTGCATAGATCGGCCGCGTATCTCAAGTTACTGCCTTACCTGTTGCGGGAAGTATGTGGCGTCGACAAACTAAGACTTAGGATGCTAGAGACGGAGGAGGGCGCGCGAGTCGACTGGTGCAAGCGCGTTGACCGCTAGAGCTAAGCTTCAGAGCTGAACGTGCCACCGCCTGATTACTCATAGTCATTTTGTTGTTCCCCGGCGTTGCGAAGGGACTTCCGTTGTGTGTTCCCTTGGGGGTGTCTGGGGGGGACCTCCGGGGACATGGCCCCGGCCACGGGCGGAACGCCGGCGGATGACGGCTGGAATCGGCCCCATTTCGGCAGACGCGCTTCTGGGCGGCACGGACGGCCCCAAGATGGTCCGTAAGATGGCCCCAGATTTCCACGAGTCGCCGAAAGATCGGTCCAGACCGTCCGAAACGGCTTCCAGACGGCCCAGGAAGCCCCAAGACGCCCTGGGAGGCCTCCAAGAGACCCCCCAAGAGGGCCCAAAGAGTCAAACTTCATGTGTTTCCCGAAGGTTCTCGACGGTTTTCGCGTTTTTGCTTTTCCACCTCCCGACGCTCCGAGAAGGCCCATGAGGACCGACGCGAAATCTCCTATACGACTGTGTCAATCGGGAACAGTTCGCCTCGACTGAGAAGCGAGCTGCCCTGGAGATTGCAGTGATTCGGGATTCCTTGGAGAATCTCGGTGGTCAGTGTCGCTAGTTTCCACGCGAACTGAACCCGACGGACGGTTTGACGAAGTTGAAGGGAACGTGAAACCCCTACTGCAAATTATGCAGACGGCAGAATTACGCATTATCGGGGCGCCTCAAAACGGCCCAAGACGGCCCAGGGGGCCTCCAAGACGGCTTCAGGAGGTCCCAGGACCCCCCCCAAGAGAGTCTTCCTAAAGAGGAGGGGGGCAGGGACCGACATTCTGGGCTCTCCGCCCAACGGACCCCCCAGGAGGTCCCAGGACCCCCCCAAGAGCCCCCAAGAAGCTTCCAAGAGGCCCCCAGGAAGCCCCCATAGGCCCCCAAGAGGGCCCCAAGACTGCCTCAGAGAGCCCCGAGATGGTCGGAGACGCCCCAGGGCCCGAAGACGGCCCCTCATGGCTCCATGATGGTCGGAGACGCCCCGACGAAGTGGCACAGCATCAAACGGACTAGTTCGCTTTAAAGCGGCACAGCGTCAAACGGACAATATTGTAATCAGAATGATGCGCCATATAGACATCTTCTGAATTGTTCTATTTTTCCTCGCAAGTCACGCCCACTTGTCCTCGAAGGTCGGGGTTCGTGGCAATATCAGGTTGTTCTCTGTGAGTGCGGCCATGCCACCGATGTATTCAAACTTGCACGAGGAAGTGGAGGCACGGGCTCCATAGGCGGGGTGGGACGTAGTCGTGTTGACACATCCCCGAGCATCTGGGCGCAGAGGCCCAGCCCTGACTTGCAGTGGCAGCGCAGCAATCCACCTCCTGATGAAGCCGCCGCAACGCATGCCGAGCTGCCAAAGCTGGCACGGCTTCAATGTCGCACGCATCGTGTCATTGGCCTTGGCATGTGTGCCTAAGCCGCCTCGAGCGTCGTAGCACTGCAAATTGAGGGGACGGGGGGGATTGGCGATTATGTTGGGACGGGATGTGGGGATGCGGGCTACCTTGCCTACACCTGCAGATATAATTATATTTGCCCTTGCGGGCTCTCCGTTTTTCCGTCTCTCTTCGCACCTCCTGTTCCGCTGATTTCTGCATTCTACCAGTTTCGTTGTGCTTTTTCTGCCACCATTTGCCGCCTGAGCGCTACAGCTCGTTTGCCAAAGTCCACTCAACGTGAAATAACAAAGGAGGAGGAGGAGGTGGGGAAACCAAAAGGTACCGATACCTCTACTCCCCGGACCTCTCCTGGGGTTCGCTGTGCCCAGAATTTCGAGGCGAATCCAGCAGTGGCGACGAGGGCCGCCCAGGAGGCCCAAGAAATCGAAACCGAGGCAAGGGTCGTTTTGGCATCGCTCGCACGTGTGCTTTTCTTCTCTGCGAGGGCCTTCGAGGAGCATTCTCGACCATCGGGCCAGGAAAACACGCGCGAGACCGAAACGTGCAGAGGGAATGGGCGTCCGAGCGACGGCGAAGGGTAGCGGTATGGGTACCTCTTCCTCCCCTGAAGAGGAGGAGCGGGGACGGAGTGGGAAGGTGTCATGGCGCCAACGTTGCAGAGCGGATTTCGTTCGGAAGCGATAGGGTGGGCCCAGGGTGTCCTGGAGAATTCCGTTCTGGATTTCGAGGTGAATTCCGCGCGGATTTTTTTCTGTCAGGAATGAAGACCATCAGGAACCTGCGCAGAAATCCGCTGCAGCACGTCTGCAGGGCCGGTACAGTGAGAGGTGTCGGGCGGGCGCACGCCGCGCGGGCCTCCCCGAGGCCCACCTGGGCTGAGGGCCCCGGGCGTCCGCGCAGTATGGGCCGCGGGCCGCGCGGCGCGGACGACCGCAGCGGCGCGCGGCGTGCCGAAACCCGCGGCGTGCCGGGGGGGTCCAACCCGACTGCACGTGCAGTGGGGGGCCCATGCCAAGAGGCACCCTGCTTGCCTCCAGGGTGCCCTGGGTTTCTTGGGCTTCGAGGGTTTCGCTCTGGAAAGCGTGACCCTCCCACACCAGAAATCAATGGACGTCCTTGGGTCTCAGGGTGGGGTTTCTTGTGGAAGGTGTCTTGTGGACTGGCCTCCGCTGTGTTCTGGGTGTCGTAATGAGCGGGGGGGGGTCCCCCCCCGACGGGGATCCACCTCGCCTCGTCGTCGCGCCGCGACGGGGGTCGGAGCGCCTTCGGCGCGTGGTGGCTACCCGCGACGGGGGGTCGATGTGGGGCTGTCGGTGGGGGTGACGCCCCCCCGACGCTCGTTAAGAAACTCGGAGTAAGAGTGACCCTTCGCCGGAGTGACCTTTGGTGTGGGCCCATCGGGGTACCCCGATCGCCGAGCGCGGTGCGATAGTAGCGTCTTGTGCGCTTTTATCTGGCCCCCCCGCGGCCCCCAAAAGGTCGCGCACCAAAGGTCACTCTTATCCACGGTCAGCTAGGGTCAGTCTTGAGTGTAGTCGACCACGGCATCCGATTTTTCTCGATGATGCTCAGCCAAGGGAGCAAAAGGTGCCCAATACCGCTACCTTAGCTTCGATTGCGCCTCTTTGGGTCTCGGGGGAGGCCCTCTCCACCTCCGTTGGATTCGCCTCGGCATTCTGGTCAGAGTGCATCCCGGGAGAGGTCCGGGGAGTAGCGGTATTGGTACCTTTTGTGATGGGTCTGTTTTCCACCACCACCACCACCACCACCACCACCACCACCATAAGTTGGAATGGGGAAGGAGCTGGAGGAGGAGGAGGAGGAGGAGGAAGAGGAGGAGGAGGAGGATGAGGAGGAGGAGGAGCAGGAGGAGGAGGAGGAGGAGGAGAAGGAGGAGGAGGAGGAGGAGGAGGAGCCCTCCCCTTCCTACTTCTGGGGGTGGCGGTGAAACACAAGCCCACCATTTTGGTTTCCCCCTTCAGAACGTTTGTGAGCCCAGTGTGTGCGTGCGCCGTTCCGTACCGCCGGCAGCACGCAGCCTGCGTCGGCCCTCACTGCGCTGCCCGGGTCGCAGGGAAGGCCTTCGGTGGACAAGCAGACGTTGGCGCTGACACACGTCCTTTTGGATGCAGCTCCTGGGAGGTCAAATTCTGCCTATGCTCGGGCGAAGAGAGCTATGCACATGCACCGATCCTGGCAAGGCCCATTATTGACCCAGGATCGGTGCATATGCCTTCCTGGCCAAGGTAGGAGGGCGTATGCACCGATCCTGGGCTCAGGATGGGCCTGGCCAGAATCGGTGTATGTGCATAGTTTTTTTTCCTCTATATGCCCTGGTCCGAAATCCGGCCCAATCCGGTTTAATCCCGCTGAATCTTCGGCCTAATTCAGCGCAGCAGCCCCCCAATGGGATTCAATAGTTTCCCATCCTTCCGACGAAGACCTTCCGAACGTCCTGAGGACCATCGGCTTTCGCGTCCCGACGGGCCGGCGCGCTCCCGAGAGGGCTTCGCCCTTGGCATCGCTCCGACGTGTGCACGGTTCCCCCGGCGAGGACCATCGAGGAGCAGCCTCGATCATTTGGCGGAAGAAACACGCACGAAACCAACAACAAACCCAGGGAATGGACGTCCGAGCGATGGCCAGCCGCCTCCGAGGGAGAGCCGAGGTGCTGGCAGAGCCGCTCCTCGGCGGACGACGGGCTCGCGGAGGCCGGCGGGAGCAGAGCGAGGCCGCCTCCGCCAGTGGAGGCCGGCGGACGTTAAGATACAGGTCGGCCCGGATGGGCAGGTCGACCCCGCCGGATCGAGGGTGTACCCCCTTGGTGTCCTGTGTCTCGTGGCCAGTGCTTCCCACACTCCTGTGGCAATGTGGCCCTCGGAAGGGCCTTGTGTCCTCTCGCGTATCCTGGCCAATCGAGTCCGACTGTATGCGCCGCCAAGAGATGACACGTTTCGGGGGGTCAGTCGGCGGCGACCGAGGGGGGGAAGCGAGAAGGAGCAGGCCTCTTCGGAAGGCTCGGGAGCCCCCCCCCGGGCCTCCCGAGAAGTTTTCGAAGCCGCGGAGACGCAGAACACTTGTCGGAAGGCGCGGCGGCTTCTGAGAAGCCCCACCGCCTTCTGAGAAGGCCTTCTTCTGCTCACTTCTCCCCCCCTGGCCGCGACGTTGAATATCGATCAACATCGGTCCTTGGATCCCTCCGGGGGTCCACTCGACGCGGTTTTGCACCCCGGATCGAGTTTTTCACCCCGGGTCAAATATACACGTGCGTTTCTACATGGTACTCTGCCGTTCGATTCCCACTGCGGTGTTATACCCCATGTTGTTTGCGAGGTTGCCGCTCTAGTGTGACGCAGCGAAGTAATGATGATAGTGCTGTCCAGAAGGCGAAACGTACCCCGACACAGCCCACAGAGGCCCCAGCCCACAGAGGCCCCAAGCACGCCCGCAGAGGCCCCCAGCGCGCTGCCCACCGAGGCTCCCCAACGCAGCCCACAGAGGCCCCAAGCGCGCCCACAGAGGCCCCAGCCCGCAGAGGCCCCAGGAACGGGTCTCTCGAATGAGACTTCTTCGCAATCCAATCAAGTTCGCGCATGCCCAGCCGCGACGACGATGCCCCCGCTCGATAGTTTCTCGCGGTTTACTCCGGCAGGCCCTGGCAAGAGAGGCTCCCGAACTCAGGTCCAGCGCTCTCGCTGGAAACCTTCCTGGCAACTCAGTCACATTAGTTGTGAGTTGAGCCAATACCAGAAATTGGAGCGGATGCGGAGAGCCCGCCCAACCCCAGGAGATTTGAAACGATCGTTTGGGGATGCGCCTTCACAATGTTTCGCATCAGACCAATTCCCGGAGCCGCAGCAACCCAATTTGTGGACCTTTTGGGAGGTGGGTTATTTTGGGCGTGGTGCGTTATGGGAGCTGCCGATGTTCAACAGTCGCCGCGGGACGTACAGTGTCAGCCGTGTGAATGCAAGCAGCAGGATGGCCATTACCGCACCCGTGTGCCAATGTCGGAATTCCAGGCACCCGTAGTGATACGTTGTTGCCGTGTCACTACGGGCGTCGTTATTTTGTCCAGACGAACAGGTGATATTCATACTGGTCTTGTAGTCTGCGTTCAGCTGGTTGGGCGGGGCAGAACATGAAGTTGCTGCGCGTCTCCGACGAGAGGTGTATGTTTTCTCTGCGATTGCGCCACTGAGTACCTGTGCGGGACAGCCGAAGGAACATTCAAGCAGAGCGCAAACACAACAGCAAAATCGCGAAGTGGAGGGAATCACTTCCACATGTGTCAGTTCCGGATCGTCTGTTTTTTTCCAAGTCATGCAATCGTTATTAGCCAGTATTCCCTTCTACCGCCCCCAAACCCGCTCCACATGTTAATTCGTCTAGTCGTTGGCCGCTTGCTTCTTGCACTGTTGCGGCTTGCTCCCGGGTGCTTATCTGGTGGTCAAGCGTCACCTTCGTGCATTTGGTTTTGCCGTTCTCTTTCTAGGGGTTATCTCCTGGCCTTTGAGTCTCGGCCTGTAGTGATCTTCGCCATTCACTCGCAGTACCGAGCACATGGATACTGCCATCACTTCACGTATTGCCTATGTTCTGCGTCCTCATGCTTCAACTTGTTCTGTGCACCCGCAGGAGATGAACCGGCAGTTGCACAGAGAGGGTGGCCAGGCGGCCTCGAGACTTGCATCATTGGTTTGTTTTTACTTTCCCCACTCTGGGTGAACGGCAAGTTTGACCTTCATACGGCCCCCTCCCTCCTTCCTTCCATTTTCTCCGAACCCCAGCCCCCCATTCTCCCCCCTTGCCCTTCCAAGCTGCCGAGACCTGTCGATACTTTCTAGAAGCCATCTTGGCTTGTGTCCGACTGGTCAATCTCGTCATTATCCTCCTCTTCCCCCTCCCCTCCCATCCCTCCCGCCCAGTCTTTGCGATGGGCACTCAGGGGAGCACGGTTCGCAGGATGTTGTCCAGGTTGGGTCTGGCCTCCGTTTTTGATCGGATTCGGAGTGGCAGGGAAAATCAGAGGATCAGGACTAGGCGGATCGTCCCTTTCGCGGCCTGTGCAGCAGGACGAGATGGCGGTAATTTGTTCGGCTTGCCGCTCGTGCGGCCAGCACGTGAAGGTCTCTTGGTCGCCCTTTCTCTCCGCAGAGGCGAGGCGGCCTTCTTGAGAGGGCGGCGCCCAGGCACTCCTGTGTCTCACCCGGACGCTTCAGGTGGGGTGCGTGTAGAAGCGCAGTCGTCTCGCCACGGGTGTTTCAACTGCTCTGTGGCGGTTCTGTGTTCTGCCAGTGCCATTGGGCATCGGCGCCCCCGCCCCTTACCCTCCCATTTTTTCCCTGCAGTTCTCCACTCCCTGATACTTACCCCTTCTTGTAGCTGTTCAGCGGGGTTTCCTCTTCCGAGTGCCGAGCTCTCGACGTTTGCACGGGGAGAATAATTATCCTTGAGCAGCAGGTGAGGATTACCCGTTGATTCAAGAGGTTTGCCCCATTCCGTCGACCCCATAGAAGAGGATACGTGCGGTTCCGAGATCTTCCCGTCGTTCTGCCTGCGTGCAGTTGTCGCTGTTTCGGCCTCCTCTTCCTCCGCGTCTGCTGCGGGGCTTCTCGGGTGCCCCTTCGAGGAACACAGGGGCGGCCTCTCGGAGCCGATTTCAAGGCTCCCATTGGCTTTGGGAGGTCCCTTAGGAGCTTCTTGGGAGCCTCCTGGGGCGGCATGTCGGGGAGGGCCCTTGGGGTGGCTGCGATGTCCCCTTCTTGGGGCTCCCTTGAAACCCTTTTTGACCGTCTTGGGGGCCGTTTGGGCCGTCATGCTTCGTGAGGCCCTCTGGGGTTCTCTCGGGGCCCTCTTGAGACGTCTTGGGCCGTCTT